AAAGATGCTCAACATTACTAAACAGCAGGGAAATACAAATGAAATGCAATGAGATATCACTTCACATCTGCTAAAATGGCTGTTATCTGAAACACGAGATAACAAGTGTTGGCAAAGATGTGGAGAAAGGAACCCTGTGTGCTATTGGTGGGAATGTAAATTGGTGGGAATTGTAAACTTCCATAGCAGCCGCTATGGAAAATAGTTTGGAGGTTCCTCAAAAAATAAAAATAGAACTACCGTATGATCATCAGTTCCACTTCTGGGTATTTATTCAAAGAAAATGAAAACACTAATTCAGGAAGATAAATATGCATCTCCATGTTCATTGCAGCATTATTTTCAATACCTAAGATATAGACACAAGTGTCCATGTGGATGAATGGGTAAAGAAAATATGGTGTGTATATATATGCATACATATATATATACACAATGGAATACTAGTCAGCTGTTAAAAAAAAAACAGAATGAAATCTTTACCATTTGCCGCAACATGGACCTTGAGGGTATTATGCTAAGTGAAATAAGTCAGAGAATGACAAATACCATATGATCTCACTTTTATGTGGAATTAAAAAACAACGATGATAATTAATCAAGCTCATAGCTGAGGAGAATAGAATCGTGTTTGCCACAAGCGGGGAGTGGAGGGAGAGAAATGAGCGAGTCAAAGGTACAAATTTCCAATTATAGAATAATGAAGTCATGGGAATGTAATGTACAACATGGTGACTATAGTTAATAATAATGTGCATATTTGAAAGTTGCTAACAGTAAATCTTAAAAGTGGTCATCACAAAAAAGAAAACAATTTGAAAAACCAAATACAATGAAATGTAATATTGTTTTGTATATATTTAAAAGAACATTTCAACATTCCAGAGATGCCTTCATATGTCTTTTCTGTCAGAATTTCTTGTCAAGAGTAATCACTATTCTTTCTTCTAACAGCATAGGTCATTTTGCATGTTTTTAAACTTAATATGAAAGCAATCATGCCGTGTACTCTTTTGTGTCTGACTTCCTTCACCCAATGTTATTCTTGTGTGTTGATCTGTATTGTTATAGTTATCAACAGTGTATCTTTTTCTTTACAGTGTTATGTTCCATTGTATGGTTATACTCTTATTTACATATGCACCAGTTGATAGAAATACAGGTTGTTTCTAATCTTGACCTATTATGAATGAAATACTATGGATGTTCTTGTACATATTTTTTGGTCAATGTTAGAATTTATTCCCTGTGGTTCATATATAGCATATACACAGGAGAATGCCTGGCATAGGTTTAGCTTTAGTAATTAATTCCAAATGTTTTCCCAGAGTTGTACCAGTTTACACCAGCAGCGTAAGGAAGTGGCTTCCAGTTGTGAGGGTCAACACTTGGTATCTTTATTCATTTTAATTTCTATCATTTTGAGGGATATGTGGTCTTATTGCATTGAGGCTTTAATTTGTATTTCTCTGTCGTGGCCGGCGCGACAAACACCGAGGTCAGGGTCCTGAGGGTAGGGGAATGCAAGAAAAAGAGAGAGAAGAGAAAGTTTGGGAACAGGAGGGTCCCCTGGGCTGATGGCCCAAGTGACGGCTTTATTGTTGCTGTACACAATCTTTTATAACCAGACTCTTATGGGTTAGGTCATTCTAAGAATAAACAGGTTTCACATAATTGCTGCCCACCAAAACATTTAGTTCTGTGTTTCTTGTGCATTTTCTAGATGGGTCACAAGACCTTGTTGATAAGATTGCTAGCAAAACACAATTCCCATGTTTGTTTCTATCTGACTCGGGGTAGAAAAAGGGAGGTAGCATTACTGCCAACACCTGCAGACCACAGTCTTCAGGAATTAACTCTCTCAGCCTTGACAAGGCTTTCGTATGCCCTTGAAAGTGGGGGAAT